CTGCGGGGCGTATGGCTCCCCACGCGCGCCCGGAGCCCCCGCCCCCCCACCCTGCCTCCCCTCTGCCAGCTGCCCCACCCTCCCTCTTCCCTCTCCCTCTCCTCCTCCTCCTCCTCCTCCTCCCCTCCTCCTCCTCCTCCTCCTCCTCCTCCTCCTCCTCCTCCTCCTCCTCCTCCTCCTCCTCCTCCTCCTCCTCCTCCTCCTCCCCTCCTCCTCCTCATCCGCCTCCTCCTCCCCCTCCTCCTCCTCCTCCTCGTCCTCCTCCTCCTCCTCCTCCTCCTCCTCCTCCTCCTCCGCCTCCTCCTGGTCCCCTTCCTCCTTCCCGAGCAGCTTCGGACAGGAAGTCAGCGGCATGCTCACCCCAAGCCGCGAGGAGAGCACTCGGGCTGAAGGAAGCCGAGCTGCCGACCTGCTCCTCGGGGGGCGGGGGCAAGATCTGGCCGAAGGCGCACATGAACGGGGGGGCGTTGCTTGAAGACTCCTTGGCGTAAGTTCGCTGAGAGTTTCAATAATCCATCTTCGAACCGAGGTGTATCCTCTAAGCAGGCTGCAAGTCCCCTTTGTGAACAATTCGGGGCATAAATTCGCTGAGGTCTACCTTCAATCGTCAAACGGAAGCTGGTTCTTCAAGCATACTGCCAACTGCCTGTTCGAAGAATGATGGGAGAAAGCTAGATGATGCCTCCGAAATGTATAGCCACACAGATGTTGAACCTGTACTCCTGGTCGCCGTTTCGAAGAGCTACGCGAACAAATTCGCTGAGATCTTCAACCTTCAATCACCTAATGGAAGCTGATCCTTCAAGCAGGCTGCCAATAGCCTGCCTCTGGAGTTCTGGGACTGAGTCTGCTGAGATCGTCAATATGATATCTTCGAGGTCGGTCCTGACAAGGACGGGGGGCCGGCCGGGACTCGCCGGGTGCCGGGTGCCGGGTGCCGGGTGCCGGGTCTCCAGGTCGCCGGGTGCCGGGTGCCGGGTCGCCGGGTGCCGGGAGCCGGGTGCCGGGTGCCGGGTGCCGGGCGCCGGGTGCTGGGTCGCTGGGTGCCGGGTCGCCAGGTCGCCAGGTCGCCTGGTCGCCGGATGCCGGGTCGCCGGGTCGCCGGGTGCCGGGTCGCCAGGTCGCCAGGTCGCCTGGTCGCCGGATGCCGGGTCGCCGGGTCGCCGGGTGCCGGGTCGCCGGGTGCCGGGTGCAAAGAGCCGCGGGTGCCGGGTCGCCGGGTCGCCGGGTGCCGGGTCGCCGGGTGCCGGGTCGCCGGGTCGCTACCTCAGGAACTCCGGAACTAGGAACCCAGGAATCCAGGAGCCCAGGAACTCAGGATCCCAGGAGCACTGGATTCCAGGAATCTAGGAACCCAGGAGTCCAGGAATCTAGGAATCTAGGAACCCAGGAATCCAGGAATCTAGGAACCCAGGAGTCCAGGAACCCAGGAACTCAGGAACTCAGGAATTTCGGAGTATAGGAACGCAGGAACACAGCAACTCAGGAAGCCAGGAGCACAGCAACCTAATAATGTAGATCCCAGGAATCCAGGAACCCAGGAATCTAGGAAACCAGGAAGCCAGGGACTCAGGAAACTAGACATCCAGGAACCTAGAAACCCAGAAATGTAGGACCTCAGGAAATTGGGAACTCAGGTACGAGGAACTCAGGAACCCTGGAATCTGGGACCCTCGGAATCTAGGAACCCAGGAACACAGGAACTCAGGACCCCAGGAACCCAGGAATCCAGGAATCTAGGAACCCAGGAATCTATGAAGCCAGGAACCCGGGAACTCTGGAAACCAGGAGCACTGTAACCCAGGAACCTAGCAATTCAGGAAACCAGGAGCACATTAACCCGTGATTCTAGGATCCCAGGAACCCAGGAACCCACGAATCTAGGAACCCAGGAGTCTTGGAGCACAGAAACTCAGGAACTCAGGAATTTCGGAATATAGAAACCCAGGAACACAGCAACTCAGGAAGCCAGGAGCACAGCAACCTAATAGTGTAGATCCCAGGAACCCAGGAATCTAGGAAACCAGGAACCCAGGGATTCAGGAAACTAGACATCCAGGAACCTAGAAACCCAGGAATGTATGACCTCAGGAAATTGGGAACTCAGGTACGAGGAACTCAGGAATCCAGGAATCTGGGACCCTCGGAATCTAGGAACCCAGGAACACAGGAACTCAGGACCCCAGGAACCCAGGAATCCAGGAACCCTGGAATCTAGGAACCCAGGAATCCAGGAACTCAGGAACTCAGGAACTCAGGAACTCAGGAACACCGGAATCTAGAAACCCAGGAATCTAGGAACCCAGGAACCCAGGAACTCTGGAAACCAGGAGCACTGTAACCCAGGAGCCTTGGAACACAGGAAACCAGGAGCACAGTAACCCAGGATTCTAGGAACCCAGGAATCTAGGAACCCAGGAACCCAGGAATCTAGGAGCCCAGGAATCCAGGCACCCAGGAACCCAGGAACTCAGGAATCTAGAAACCACAGGATCTTGGACCTCAGGGAACCCAGGAAGCTAGGAACACAGGAATCTAGGACCCCAGGAGCCCTGGAACCCAGGAGCCCAGGACCACAGGAACCTAGGATTCTAGGAACCCAGGGATCCAGGAACCCAGGAACTCAGGGATCTAGGACCCGAGGTATCTAGGAATCCCAGGAACCCAGGGACTCAGGACACCAGGAGCAGAGTATCCCCGGCATATATATATATATATATATATATATATATATACATATATATATATATATACATATACATATATATATATACATATATATATATATATGTATATATATATATCCCTGTACTCTACGAACCCAGGAAACCAGGAATCTAGGAACCGAAGAACCCAAGAACCCAGGAACTCAGGAAACTAGGAACCCAGGAACCTAGAAACCCAGGAATCGAATACATCGGGAACTCGGGAACTCAGGAACGAGGAACTCAGGAATCCAGGAATCTAGGAACCCAGGAATCTTGGAGCCCAGGAGCCCAGGAACTCAGCATCTCAGGAGCACAGGAACCCAGGAATCTAGGAACCTTGGAATCCAGGAGCTCAGGAACCCAGGAATCTATGAACCCAGGAATCTAGGACCCCAAAAATCTAGGATCTCAGGAACTCAGGAAGGAGGAACGCAGGAACCCAGGAATCTAGGAACCCAGAAGTCTAGGAGCCCAAGAACCCAGGAAACCAGGAACCGAGGACCCCATGACCCTCGGGAACCCAAGAACCCGGGGACCCAGGAATCCAGGAACTCCTCAACACATGGACGCAGGAACGTAGGAGCCAGGGACCCAGGAGGTCGGAAACCCAGGATGCCAGAAACCCGGAGGCGCGGAGGCGGAGGGAGGACGTCCCCCGAGAGGCGGGGGCATGTGAACCGCACAGCGGGGGAGCATGAGCAGGAGGACACGGACCACGGTGACGATGACGATGACGGCGACGACGATTAGGAGGACAATGGCGACGATGATCTGATATTGATGACGATGACGTGACGACTACTTGACGATGACGAGGAGGGTGACTACGACGACGACGATGATGATGACGACGACGACTGTGATGGCGACGACGATGGACGTCATGATGACCTGGAGGTGACGATGGTGGTGACGATGATTATCATGATGAGAACGACGACGCTGGAGGCAGCGTTGACGACGACGACGACAACGATGACGACGAAGGCGGCGGCGGCGACGGCGACTGCAACGATGACGATAACAATGACGCTGAATGACGATGACGATGACGACTGCGATCAGAAGGACGCGGATGAGGCGAGACTCGCTTTGCAGATGAGAGCGCGAGGCCCTCCGAATTAGGCCAGTCTCTGGTCCTGTCCGAGTCTTGCACGGGGCAGGTGGGCCGCTGGAGCGCCGTCCAGGGGCGGGGGGAGGTCGGTTGTTCAGAATGCGGGTTCTTAAGCAGTGCTCCCCCCAGCAAGCGATCAATGAAGGAACGCTGAAAGTGAGGAACCGAATGTGCAACAAACGAGAAGCTCAGGATCTCAGGAATCCAAGAACCTAGGAACTCAAATGAGTAGGAGCTCAGGCCTCTTAGGAGCGAGCCGAAGAATTTAGGAACGCGGGAACTCAGAACCTAGGAACCCAAGAACCCAGGAACCCAGGAACCTAGGAATCCAGGAACCCAGGAACCTGGGAACCGAGGAGCCGAGAGCACGAAAGACTGAGTGGCTCAGAGGTCCCATAAATCAGGGCAGTTTTCAAAGGGTTCTGAGGGCCTTGGATCGCTTACGAGGTCATCCGGGCGCGTTCCGAAGCTTCCGAGGGACGTCGGGAGGGACTCCGAAGAGGGGGCTCCGGAAAGGACTCCAGAGTGGACTTCGAAAAGAATGGATACCAGAATGGATTCTGGAGGGGACTCGGAGAGGATTCGGAAGCGGGTGGACCCGAAAGGGAATTCCTCGTGGTCCCTCCTTGGTCCCCTCTTGGTGCTTCCCCGGGCCCTCCTTGGCCGCCTTGCTCTTCGGAGCCTCTTAGGCCGCCTGGAGGCCACTTCTAGGGCACCTTCGGTTCGTCGGCCTCCAGCAGCTTCTGAGGGAACCCGAACTCTTTCGGCAGAATCTACAAGTGGCCCGGGGGCGTACTAGTAGGGCTACTCTGGCCTACTAGTACGACTGGCGGAGGGGGCCTCCGCTCGAGACATCCTCGAAAGTCCGCTCCGGCGGAGCTACTAGTGGGGCCACTTTGGCCTCCTAGTACGGCCCTGAGGGGTTGGCGGGGGCGCACTAGTGGAGCTACTCTGGCCTACTACTACGACCGGCGGAGGGGGCCCCGCTCGAGACATCCTCGAAAGTCCGCCCCGGCGGCGCGCAATAGTAGAGCTACTTTCGCTTACTAGTACGGCCCCCGGGGTTGGCGGGGGTGTACTAGTAGGGCTACTTTGGCCTACTAGTACGACCCGCGGAGGGGGCCCCCGCTCGAGACATCGTCGTTATTATCATCATGATCTGCATCATCACCACCACC